TCAAACCCACCAGCTGCTCCTCGGAAAACCTATTCAGGGTCGCTATGAGTTGGAACTGACTTGATGGCACTTAACAACAGTGGGTAAAACATTGAATGATGCAGAAAGTATCAGAAGAAGATGGAAGGAATACACAGAGTCACTGCACCAAAAAGAAATGGTCGATATTCAAACATTTCAAGAGGTAGTATATGATCAAGAACCAATGGTATTCACAATAAAAAGTTTTCTTTGTTTTAAAAATGAACCAATGGGACCGAAGGAAGAAGTCCAAGGTGCACTGAAGGCATTGGCAAAGAATAAGGCATTGGAAGGCAGCTACCTGGCTATCTGAATGGAAGAGATTCATATCTGTACACATTCCAAGAGAGGTGACCCAAAGGAATGCTGAAATCATCTGACACCATCATCAATATCACATATCATAAATTTGGCTAAAGATAATTCACAAGTAGCTGCAACAGTACATTGACAGGGAACTTCCAGAGGTTCAAGTCAGATTCAGATAGGGATGTGGAATGAGGGATATCATTGCTGACATCAAATGGATCTTGTCTGGCAGCAAAGAATGCCAAAAAGATGTTTACCTGTACTTTCCTGACTACACAAAAGCTTTCAACTGTGTGGTAAACTATGCGTAGCATGGATGTGCTAAACTATGTATAAAAGTGTAAGGAATGGGTATTCCAGAACACTTAATTGTGCTCATGAGGAACTTGCATATACATCGAGAGACAGTCATTCCAACAGAACAAGGGGACACAAAATGGTTTAAAATCAGGAAAAGTGTGCGACAGAGTTGTATTCTTTCACCATACTTCTTCAATCTGTATGTTGAATAAATAATCCATGAAACTATATTATATGAAGAAGAATGTTCCATCAGGATTGGAGGAAGACCCATTAACAAACAACCTGTGATATGCAGATGATACAATTTTGCTTATGGAAAGTGAAAAGGACTTAAAATACTTAATGATGAAGATCAAAGACCACAGTCTTCAATATAAGTTGCACTTCAATGTAAAGAAAACAAAAGGCCTCACCACTGGACCAATAAATAACATCACAATAAATGGAGAAAAGATTGAAGTTCAATGACTTCATTTTGCTCGGATCAACCATCAACACTCCTGGAAGCAGCAATCAAAAAATCAAATGACATACTGCATTAGGCAACCGTGATGCACCAAATCTCTTTAAAGCGTTCAAGACCAAAGATGCCAATTTGAGGACTAAGGTGCATCTGATCCAAGCCATAGTATTTTCAGTAGCCTCATACATATGTGAAGGGTGGACAATGAATAAGGAAGACAATAAAAGAATTGATGTATTTGAATTATAGCATTGGAGAAGAATATTAAAAGTACCATGGGCTGTCAGAAGAACAAACAAATCTGTGTTGGAAAAAGTACGGACAGAATGCTCCCTAGAAGCCAGGATGGCCAGACTTTGTCTCTCATACGTCAGACATATTACCAGGAGGAAATAGTCCCAAATGAAGGGCATCATGCTTGGTAAAGTGGAGGAGAAGGAAACAAAAAAAAAAGAGGAGGATCCCCAATGAGGTGGTTGGAACAGCGGCCGTAGCTATGACGATTGTAAGGATGGCACAGGACCTGTTGTACACAGGGTTGCTATGAGTCGGAACCAACTTGACAACGTCTAACAACAACACAACTGCTACAATGGAACTCTGATGGTACAACAGTTACGCTCTCCACTGTTGGCGGTTTGGACACATCCAGCAGCACCATGGGAAAAAGACCTTCTGTAAAGACTGCTCTTGTTTAATTCTGTTCTGATTCACAATCACCCTGTATAGGGTTTTCTAGGAGTAGCTGGTGGTTTTGAACCGCATACTTTGTACTTAGCAGGCTGGTGCTTATACTACAGTGCCATGCCAGGAGTCCAGCCTAGGAAACCCAATGGGACAGTTCTACTCTTTCACACGGGTTTGCCATGAGGTGGAAATCGTCTCGGTGGTACCTAACAACAACGTAACTGCTACAATCCAATATGGCACAGAGACGAAGAGTGCAGGCTTTATAGTTTCACAGGACCAAGACAAGGGAGGCTCCTAGTGTGCAGAATGTCAGGAGGCCTCATATCAGGTTCCTGCGTATGCAAGCTGCCTCTGCTGACATCTTGGCTCTGCACAACACTAGCTAGGTGACTGTGGGTCCACAATTTACTATCTGTTCCAAAATCTAAAGCTCATCTTTGCAGCCTCATCTGTGCACTGAGGGTGACAGCTACAGATACCTCGATGTGCGGTATCTGGATGTGAAGGTCAGCTTGAAGTGAGGCTTAAATTTGGGTAACGTATACAAGCAAGTTAGCAGAAAGCTGTTAATATTTTGATAAGGAAGGAAAAAACAAACAGTTTTTGTTGTTGTTAAGTTCTGTTGAGTTGGTTCTGACTCATAGGGGCCGTGTTTAGGGTTTCCAAGGAGTAGCTGGTGGGTTTGAACCACCAACCTTGCAGTTAGCAGTCCAGTGTATATCCTACAGCGTCACACCAGCACTCTAAGAGTAATGGTGCTTTTCTTAACTCGGTGTTCGTTTAAGTGATAGAAGCGGTTCAAGTCCTTTGGAAGGTCATATAGGTTGCACTTGATTACTCATTTCGGGATCTCGGGTGGCACAGTGGTTAAGTGCTCAACTGCTAACCAAATGGTCAGTGGTTTATCCCACCAGTCGGCTTCCATAAAGCGTACAGTCTTGAAAACCCTACAGCTCGTTCTACTCTGTTCTATAGGCCACGAGGAACCTGAATTGACTTGATGACAATAAGTGTGGTTTTGCTTTGGTTACTAACCTAAAGGTCGGTGGTTTGAACCTCTCCAGCAGTGATGTGGAAGAAAGAGCTGGTGAACCAGAAACTCTGATGGAGCAATTCTACTCTGCATCACAGAGTCGCCATGAGTCAGAACCGATTCTCCGGCAAAGGGTTCAGTGTTGTGTTTTATGGAAGATGTTGTGATGCTCTAGATATACCTTCTGTTCTCTCGCTTTTTTTTTTCTCACAACTTTTCTATGTCTAAAATTATTTCAGAATGAAAAGTTGTGTTTTTGTATTTTTTGTGTTTTTATATTTCAGAATTAAAAGTTGTGTGTGTGTGTTTTTAAAAGATGCTTTCTCTTCCAGCCCCAGTCAGCACCTCCCGTGCACACATGGTACAAATCATGTCCATGAGCCGCACATGGTTGGCCTGCGTCCTGCTTCTTGAATTTCACAAGTTTCCCCATAGGAGACCCAGAGAGACAGCAGTGGAGGGGGGTCAGCAGACAGCTGCAGGATCAGACTGACCTGGGTTCCACCTAAAGTTGACCCCATCTCACCATGTCCGTTCAAATATCACCTCCTCATAGAGACCTTCTCTTTGCCCTTTGTCATGGACTAGTGTGTTTCCAAAAAATATGTACCAGCTTGGCTGGGTCATGATTCTCAGTGGATTGGTACTTATGTAATGATACAATCATGCTCCCATGATGTGATCAGCTGGGATCAGCCAATCATTGATTCTCAGTGGTAGGGTAGTTATGTAATGATGCAATCATCCCCCCATGATGTTATTGGATGTGATCAGCCAATCATTTGGGGTTGCGTGGGATATAACATCCTTTCCCTGCATCAACTTTTATCTTACAAGACCTAAAATGAGAGGGATCTGATTAGAAATGAAGGGGCCTGTTAACACATAGAAAGCAGAGCCGGGAGCAGAACCTACACTGAGAACCTCACAGACTCAGGGAAAAACTGATGCCAAGACACTTGAGATCCAAGGAACGTCAGACCCAAAGATGGCGGAAGGAGACAAGGACTGTTCTCCTAACTGTGAGCTGACTGAGAGACGAAGACGTCCCTAAAGCTGGTGCCCTGA